TGAGCTCTATTGGTCTGGTTTATTGAACAGGAGTCAAGTGTCAAAGCATTAAATAAGGAAATCACCATCATTGAGGGGGGCTGTCAACTTATGTTACTTTTTCTACTTTGAAATGCATTTTATATGTTATAGGAAAAAGCAATGACATATAACATATAAATGTTATTAGAAAGCAGGATGTTAAATGTAAGAGAAAAGAGATATAAGAATTAAATAAGATAATTAGATAAATTCATTTGAGATGGAAATATAAATATAAACTCAGGGCATGTATAATTTACATAAATTTATATTAATATTATATAAAAATAAATATATACATATATAACATATATGTATATGTATATATTTCAGTAAAAATAAATTAGCTTTGGCTTCTGAAATAACCTAAAATAAATGGCACCCTAATAGCAGTGAGTACCTCCTAGCACATAGTTTGGGTTTCTAATATCCCGTGTTTGTTGTTGCTTAGAGAAATAGCTCATTTCAAGTGTGGGGCAGGAAAAATTACAAGATGCGTTTGGAAAAGTGAGGAAGCATTTGAAGATTAAAGGATTTCTGCCAAAATGACAAAGGTGCAAAACTAAAGGAGCTTCTCGTGAACAAATTCAAGGAATTTTGACAACAAAAAATAGTTATTGTAATTCATTGAAATGCATTGATGATACTAAAATATATGTGTCTCTAATAATAATTAATTAAAAGAAACAACAATAGCAACAACTTGCTTGATAATATTAGAGGTGACTATCAGGCCAATTTCTTATTCTGAAAATTAGTAATTATAAAGGGAAAAGTTAAACAAATATACAGCATTTGTATTAAAAATATAGATCCAGAAATCTAAGTAGTTCCAGTTGGTAAAAGAAATCTTTTTTTAAAAGAAAGTATCAACTAATAAATGTTGACAGAAAGATATTATAATTTTATCACTGTTTCCAGTCCTGAATAAAATAGCTAAAGAGCATAAATAAATGCTAAGATCTTTAAGTGAAAGGTTGACAAGGAACCTGGATGTTTGTCTGATGCCAAACACCCAACAGATTTGCTATTTGAAAAAGGGAGAAATACTTTACTCTGGGGAGATCTGGCTGTCACCACCCAAACTTGCTGATCAGATCTGGCATCATCATTAATGGGGACTTGATATTCTGTCTGATACTCTGATATTCTGTCTTTATCTTCAGGACATCAGCTAGAAATTATCCCTGCCCAAAATAATGAATCTGAATCTAATCAAGCTTTTACATTTTTCTCAATTATTCCAAATTTAGGTGATTTTTCCCCTGTGTTGTCAATTATTTCATTTTTTTTATCCCTTGGATGTCCTGTAAGATGAAAATTCTTATAAGAGCTTAACTGCATTATAAGCTTCATCTCTTCAGGATTATAAGATAGAATCCAAATTTATTCTAGGAGAGATGAGGAATTTATATTTTTTAATATTATCACTGGGTGATTCTTACATACATTAAAGTTTAAGAAGTATTCCTATATGACATTCTTGAGCAGAAAATATATTCTTGATGAAGAATATTGACCTGGTAGTTGGGTGTAAAGTTAGGAAACAATTGCATTATTTCATGTAAGAGGAAGGGAACAATGCAATAAGGTGGAAAGATTTTCTGTCACATGAATTATCAAGTTTAGTTTAATTCAGCATTATCGTATTGTTTTTCTTTTTAAAATGTGGACAACTGGAGTATCAGATGAATCAACTATACTGGCAGAAAGAACCACTGAAGTACCAGGCAATTAGTTTGAGCTGAGATTCAGTATCTAGTAAATAACTAAATAATCACAAAAGCTCATTCATTCTCATCAACTGTATTGATCAGAAACAAAGCTATTGAAATAGACAAAGGGATAAATGATGAGACTTTCTAAGAATATTTGATAATTGTCTTGATTTTTTTTCAGAAATTTTAGAAATTCATGTAATCTCAGCTGCTTTTTTATGTTGACCAGGTCCAGGGGAAGGGTTCACAGGAACTACTATTGGAGCAGGCAGTGGAAGCACAGCTGGAACATCAGGCACTGGGGATTCTAGCACTGGAAACCCCTCAAGTAAGACAAAACATTTGGTGTCTGAGAGATGTACAAACACAAAGATTCCAGATAATTATAAGAAGTCTAAATGGCTTTTTTTAAAAAGGAGCTAATTACAAGAGAAATGATTGAAGAAAATTCCAGCAATAATCAAATAAATTTAATAACAAACTTTTGTCAAAGAGCATTTTCAGCATAGCAACAATGACAGAACTTCATTATTTTCCAAATTAAATACAACTGGAAGACCAGAAACAGCAAACACTTTAGCTTCAGGTGACATCAAGTTTTAAGTATTGTTTATATCTCTAATCGTGTCTAATTAGCAAAATTGTGAACTCTTGGATGAAACTTGATTTAACAGAAACCTGTGATGAGTTCAGTAAATATCCTTTTCAGGAGACAGACAAAATTAAAAAATTACCTAGGGCCAGCAGGTAGCATGGAGGTCAAGGTGCTAAATCCTACATGGCCAGCTCCCAAGTTGGAGTCCCAGACTGGCGACTTGAAAATCAAATTGGGCACTTGTGAATATGTGCCCAAGAGCCTGAAAAAAGAATGGAGGAGAAGGTATAGTGGCATGGTCATCCCTCCTTGGGGATGATTTCTCAGTCCTCCCCTTTCTGTGTGTATGTATGGGTCTGTGTGTGTCTGGCAGTTACACATGCCCTATAGCAAAAAAATGACTTGAAAAAGGTAATGGTATTTTTTATATATATAACAATTCCATTCTTATATCTTGTTTTACAGCAGTTATGTTAAACATAACTGAATTGAAAAAGATACAAAACAGTTATTAACTATTGAATAATGTCATTTGCGAGTCATCTAAATCTGTTTTAACAAAAGTAAAATTGCTAATCAAAAATGTATACAAAGTATGAAATGGACAAAGTATATTCACATACGTTAAATTTATTTGAATCTTACAACCATGGTACATATTACAATATATTCGTAATTATTCTCATTTTATATATGAAAAAAATCAGTATTCTTTGTGTAGTCATTGTGTTTTTAGACAGATTGACAGCATGGTAGATGTTTGTCAAAACCAGAGAAAGAGCTTGTCACCGTGCCTGTTTTTATTTACTATTGCATTCCCAATGCCTTTGCTCAGTTTCTGATTTGGGTACTTGATAAATACGTGGTAGATATCTGCTGAACAAATGAATATGAGCTCCCAGTCTGGTCAATGATAAAAAGGGTTCAGATTTATATGCTTATCTCCAAAAGAGAGCTTCATTCTCAGATGTCCATACACACACACGCGCGCACACACACACACACACACACACAAACACACTGTAAAACTGCTTACAGAAACCAAATACTGAGCTAAAGCTAAACTGTCTTCATGTTTTTCAACTTCTAATGTTAAGTAAGTAGTATAAAGAAGTTTGTGTTAGTATGTTCCTAAGTGTACTTTCTAAGAGAATGTTTTGAAGCTTAGTTTCCACTGAATGGGTAATGCATTTGACCTAGGCCTAAAGGCTCAAAACTCAACTTTCAACTACAACAAAGTACTTTAGGTATGAAATGCAGCTCCATGAGTGGAGACTTTTTGCCAAAGAACTTTCTGATATTCCATGCACAAGTTCAGATTTACAATGAAAAATTACATGCTTATCTTTGAAAGAGAGCTTTATTCCACAACGTCTATACACGCACACACTGTAAAACTGCTTATAAAATGAAATACTGAGCTAGAGCTAAATTGTCTTTATAAGTTGTTCAACTTCTGGAGTTAAGTAAGTGGTATAAAGAAGTTTGTATTAGTATGCTCCTAGGTGTATTTTCTAAGAGAATGTTTTGAAGAAAAAAAAAGGCTTCATTCTTATCAGTGAAATAAAATATCAGGTATTGTGAAAGAGAATCTTCTAGAAGGATATGTGGAGGGAGTAGATCATTTTATGCTATATCCAACTAGCAGAGTGTTGCTGGAAACTTGTGTCCAGGTGCACACACACCACTGTGCAGATCCATGTCTCCGCAAATCCAGAGTTCTACCCTTGTTGGGTCCCTTAGTGGAATTCTCAAGATTAGACTCTCAGAACTAGAACATTCTAGGTGGTGCCAGATTTTTGAAGAATGAGTCCTATTAGCTTAAGGTAAGGAGGAAGTGGAAGCTTTTTGTGAAGCTGTTAAACATATAGAAAACTTATTAAAAAATTATTAAATATGGATTTCAGAAATAGACAAAGTCAAAATTTATCATTGATTCAGTGTCAAAGGATGACCATGATACAGGGTATAGTGGGACAGAGTCAGCAGAGTTTCAGTTCAGTGTTACATTGGTGAGAATAAAATCAAGTTTCTAGAGTCAGTGTTAGTTGGTGCTTAGGAAACTGGTCTGTAGAAAAGTGCAAAATTTTACTTGGCCAATGGAAAGTTCCCTTAAATTGAGCTCAAAGAATGATTTCTAGTAGTCAAAGATAGGCTGGGCCTAGTGAAGGTGGTTGCATTATCTGTAGGAAAGTCTTGAAGACATTTTAGCTATGAACTTCCAATTATATACCTCCCACCTTTACTTCTGGAATTATAAAAAATAAGTAAGTACACTATATATATATATATATATATTACAACAACAACAAAAAGAGGCAAGACAGCTACTGTTATGATTTGAATGTGACCCATTTCACCCAAATTTATGTGCTGACATTTGATTGTGATGTAATTAAAAGAGTGTAAACCTAATCTGATTATAGTGTTGAAAGTCAGGAGCTTTGAGAAGTGATTGAGATTGTATGTGATCAGCAGGGTAGGGTGCCCGTGTTTGACTCCTTTACCACGTGTAGCACCTTGACAATTATACTCCAAAACTGTGAGCTAAATAAACCTTTATTTATAACTTACACAGATTCAGTCACTCAGTTATTAGTGACAGGCATGGACTAAAAGAACTATTAATGACATTCTATTAATACTTTTACTACTCCTTTTGACAGGGATAACTGGACCATCAGATAGAGAGACAGGAACAACTGGACCATCGGAAAAAGTTACAGGAAATTCTGTACAATCATCTGGAGTGACAGGGACAACTGGCTCATCAGCTGGAGGTTCAGGGACACCAGATAGAGTATTTGGAACAACTGCACCATCAGCTGGAGTATCAGAGACAACTGGCCCATGGGTAGGAGTGACACTGACAACTGGGAAATCAAATGAGGTGACTAGGGCCAATGGGCCATCAACTGGAGTGATAGGGACAACTGAACCAGCAGACGAAGGATCAGAATCAACTGAACCATCAGTTATAGGATCAAGAACAACTGGAAGATCAGCAACAGAATTAAAAACAATTGAGCCTTCATTTGGAGGATCAGGTACAACTGGTCCACCTAATGAAGAAACTGGGAAAATTACATCATTGGTTACAGGATCAGGTACAACTAGACAATCAGTTGAAACAACTGGGACAACTAGACAATCAGGTACAGGATCAGGGACAACTGGACCATCAGATGAAATGAAAGGAACAGCTGAAGTATCAACTACAGGACTAAAGACAACTGGACCTTCATCTGAAGGATCAGCTACAACTGGACTCTCTGCTATAAAAACTGGGACAACTAGCATAAGAGTTGGAGAAACTGAGATAACTGGAGGATCAATTACAACTAAAACATCAACTATAGAACTAGGAACAACAGAACCTTCAACTACAAGTAGAGCATCTGTTGATGAAACTTGGACAGTGGGCCCAACAGTTGGTGACTCTGGGACAAGTGGACCTTCATCTGGAGGATCAGGCACTACAAGACCATCAGCTGCAGGACTAGGGACAACTGGACCTTCATCTGGAGGATCAGGAACAACTGGATCATCAGCTATAGGATTAGGGACAACTGGACTTTCACCTAAAGGATCAGGAACAACTAGATCATCAGCAGTAGGATTAGGGACAACTGAACCTTCACCTGAAGGGTCAAATACAACTGACACATGGGTTAGAGAAACTGGAAGAACTGGTCCAACATCTGGAGAATCTGAGACAACTGAATCATTACCTGGAGGATCAGGTACAACTAGACCATCAGCTACAGGGCTAGGGACAACGGTACCTTCACCTGGAGCATCAGGTACACCAGGCTCTACTGTTGAAGAAACTTGGACAATGGGCACAACATTTGGAGATTCTGGGACAACTACATCTATATATGGAGGATCAGGTACAAGTAATCAATCAGCTAAAACACTAGTGACAAGTGGACCTTCTTCTGGAGGATCAGGTACAATGGGACCATCAGTTACAGGACTAGGGACAAGTGAACCTACATCTGAAGAATCAGGTACAACTACACCATCAGCTAGAGGATTAGGGACAACTGGACCTTCAAGTTCAACTGGCACAGCCTTTGAAGAAACTGGGACATCTGGCTCAAAAGTTGGAGAATCTGGGACAACTGGACTCATACCTGGAGTATCAGGTACAACAAGACCATCAGCTACAGAATTAGGGACATCGGGTCCTTCATCTGGAGTATCAGGTACAACTAGGTCATCAGCTACAGGATTAGGTACAGCTGGACCTTCATCTGGAGGATCAGGGACAACAGGACCATCAGCTATAGAACTAGAGACAACTGAACCTTCATCCAGAGGATCAAATACAACTGACTCATCTGTTAGAGAAACTGGAAAAACAGTTCCAACAGTTGTAAAATCTGGGACAACTGAATCATTACCTGGAGTATCAGGTACAACTAGACCATCAGCTATAGGACTAGGGACAACTGAACCTTCATCTGGAGGATCAGGTACAACTGGATCTTCAGATACAGGATTAGAGACAACTGGACCTTCAAATGAAGGATCAGGAACAACTGGACCATCAGTCATAGGACTAAAGACAACTGAACCTTCATCCAGGGGATCCAATACAACTGACACATCTGCTAGAGAAACTGGAAGAACTTCCCCAACAATTGGAGAGTCTGGGACAACTGAATCATTAGCTGGAGGATCAGGTACAACTAGACCATCAACTACAGGACTAGGGACAACTGAGCCTTCATTTGGAGGGTCAAGTACACCTGGCCCATCTGTTGAAGAAACTGAGACAACTGGCTCAACAGTTGGAAAGTTTGGCACAACTGGACCTTTATCGGGAGGATCAGGTACAACTACAGTATTAGGTACAACTGAACCTTCACTTGGAGAATCAGGTACAACTAGACAGTCAGGTACAATACTGGAGTCAACTGGACCTTCATCTGAAGGATCAGCTACAACTGGCCCATCTGTTGAAGAAACTTGGACAACTGGCTCAACACTTGGAGATTCTGGGACAACTGGATCTATATCTGGAGGATCAGGTACAACTAAGCCATCTGCTACTGTACTAGGGAAACTAGACCTTGTATCTAAGGTGTTACTTTTGCCCACATTTTAGAGGAAGTCAAGAAATTTAGTTAGCAGATATAAGGAAGGACTTAAACCAAGGTAGTCTGGCTCCAGAGACTATTTGTTACCAATTTCACTGTCCTATCTTCTATAGTGGATATAGACTAGGGTAGAAAGGAAATATATTTCCTAGAAGGAAAATCCTAATGGAATCTCATATTTACCAAAATTCAACCTCTCAAAAAAATCATGTAAATGATCTACATTAACAGAACTATATATTAGGACAAAGTGTGTAATTTTCTATAACAGTAGTGCCCACCTTTACCATTTTATTGTACTTTAATTATTATTAATTATTTTATTTAATTATTATTATTTGTCAGCTGTGTGTAAGGAATTGTAAGGATATGTGAATACAGAGATGAACAAGTATGACAGGGTCCCAGTTGTCAGGGTATGCTGTCTTCTTGGGTATGTAGCTGGTAAGAAAAATGTACCTCAGTAATATGTTTACAACTGGGCTAGTGCTACTAAGGTGAGGGTGTCAGGAAAGTCATTCTGCCTGGTGTCTGTCTCAAACAAATGGGCATTAGTCAGATAAAGAATATAGGGCAGAGGCTGAAAGTGTGATAGTGCTCCAGGTAGAAGTCATGGGATCTTGGGGAGTTTAAGGCAGGCCAGGGTGCCCGTGCCTCCTGGTGCCAGTTAGATAGCCAGAGAGCAGTGAAATATAGCCTAAGGTAGTACGTAGGGAACTGATCATGCAGAGGTTTAAAACATAAGCAATGAATATTAGACTTGGGGACCAGCATATGGCATAATGGTTACATTGCTGGATTCCTACATGGTCAACTGCAGTTCAAGTCCCAGAGCCAGCGGCTTAAAACTCACACTGGGCACATGTGCATTGTGTGCCTAAGCTCTCAAGAGGTGAATGGAGGCGAAGGGATTGTGACATGGTCATCCCCCCAGGGGAGTTATTTCTTGCTTTCTGTCTCTCTGTCTTTCTTTATCTTTCCAACAAGCACTCGTGCCCTTTAGTAAAAACCTCTAAATCATACACACACACACACACACACACACACTCACGTCTGCTCTCAAGAACTGGTCTGGCTGTAGAAACTACTCGTTACCAGTTTCACTATCCTCACTGCTGTAGTGGGTATAGACTAGGGCAGAAAACATGTGAGACAGAAAAGGAACATGCTCAGGTTCACATTTTGAAATATCAGTAAGATGGCAATGTGAAGAAGGACTATGTAAGGTAAAAAGGGAAGCAGACATTTTGTATGAGACTTACTGAGTCAAGGTAAGATGCAATGGTTTAGAATAAACTAAGATAGTGAATAGAAAGATTAGGAATAGACGTTTAAAGTTTATACACTTATTTAACCCATGAGTGTAAGAGCTAGAGAGAAAGAAAGCAAGAGAGGCACCCCAACAGGGTCTTTTTTTCTTTTTTTTTTAGAGGTTTTTACTATAGGGCGCGTGTGCTCACCAGACAGAGAGAGAGAGACATAGAGACAGAAAGCAAGAAATCACCCCCCCAGGGGGGATGGTCACGCCACAATCCCTTCTCCTCCATTCTCCTCTTGGGATCTTAGGCACGCATGCACATGCCCCCGGCGTGAGTTTTAAGCCACCGTGTCCGGGACGCAAACCGCGGTCGACTATGTGGGAGTCCAGTGACATAGTCCTTACGCTAACTACTGGTTCCCCCCAACAGGGTTTTTACACCATGATCCACCCCACCCCACCCCACCCCCCCCGTCATCAGCCAACCTGAATCATGGGCACGTACATGCCTGGTGTACTCAGTGAGGTCTCCTGACTTGAACCAAGACCCATAAAGGTCAACCTCACAGAGTGTAGGTTTTTACTGCTGTGCCATGATCAAACCCCTAAATGTACATTTTGGGAAAACCATAAAGGGAATTGGACAGTGGTTTTAATGAGTATTTAGTTACAAGTAATTTTCAAGCTGACAATTTTTAGGATGATGGTATTTCTTATTAAAATACAGTTGTTAAAACAGCAGTTTGTAGTATGAAGATCACTAGTTCACATTTGAGTAGGTTAAATTTGAGATGTCAGGAGCCCAAATAAGAATTACTCATATGTTATTAGAATTCTTTTCATTTGTTTTGAATTCATATATAATCGGAGTGCTTGCTACAACTTCCACTGCAGTTAGGGGCAAAAGCACAGTGTTCACCTCAGGGACCAGAACCATAATACCTGAACTCAAAGTAGTTACTTTGATAAACACATGGATGGTGTGTCAATAAAATAAGAACACTATTCATGGCTTCCTACTTTTAACCTCAGGTTCCACGGGAGCTGTCCTTGGCTCAACATTTGCACCAGGAATTAACTCTACTGGTAAGTATGCAGGGCATATCAGACATATTGGCTTGTTTCCATGCTTATTGGCTAAAATATTTAATAACATTTAAATAATTACAATATCCTTAAATACATTATCTCACTTAATTATTTAAATAAGAATTGTTATCCAATTTTGCTCATGAGGAACTTAGACCAAGATATCACCTAATTTGTTCTAGGTTCTATAGCAGGTAAAGAAGTGGAAGCAATATTTCACCCATTCTCTACTAACTCCAATGACCATGCTTTTCAGTGTGATGCCATCCTTCTTTAATGCAAATATGTAATCTTTAATATCCCATTAGTAAAACTTGCTTAAAAATAACAAAGCTTAAATAGTCTCCATTTCTAACTAGAACTGCAGGAACAAGTATTAAAAAATATATGTATATATGTGTGTGTGTGTAATGACATACTATGACTTTTACATACACACACACACACACACACACATATATTTATATTGACAAACTATGACATTTGCTATTCTGAAACAAGATTTTGAACATTTTATTTGACAAAACTAATATTATTGTTTTATACTTTTTTTTGGGGGGGGAGAGGTTTTTGCTATAGGGCGTGTGTGCTCACCAGGCAGACAGAAAGAGACAGAGAGACAGAAAGCGAGAAATCACTTCTTGGGGAGATGTCCACGCCACAATCCCTTCTCCTCCATTCTCCTCTCAGGATTTTGGGCACGCATGCACACGCACCCGGCATGAGTTTTAAGCCACTGGGTCCGGGATGCGACCCGTGGTCGACTACATGGGAGTCCAGCAAGATAGCCATTACGCTAACTGCTGGTCCCTGTTTTATAAATTTTATAGCCTCTTTTTTATACAATTAAATTCACTTGACATAAAATTCACAAATACTTACAGGGCAATTTCTATTTCCTAATACTAAATAAGTGAACCAAATGATTTTTTTCAAAGTTACAGTACAATATTATTTTTTGGTTTATTCATGATAGGGCATGTGAGAATGAGAGACAGAGAGGGATGAGCACTCACAACAGGGTCTAGTTGTGCCATGATCTTCTCCTTCCATCTTGCAGCCACTTTTATCTTGGTCATCCACACCCATGACCAGTATGTTTCAGGCTGACCAGGCTGGGGATTAGAACTGTAGTCACCATGTGGGATCAGCTTCTCTTGAGCACTGCATTAGTTACTGTTGTGCCATGGATCTGGCCTATAATTATAGTTCATTATTATTTTAGCTTCTAGATTAGTAATATGCTAAGAATCAAAGTACATGAGAAAGCTCATTTCTCAATTTGTAGGGACTAACAGAATCTGAGCTTTAGTGACTAAGTAGTTTATTATTACTTTAAGAAATAGATTGCCTGCACTTTTGTTTTTGTTTTTGGCAAAAATTAATCCTACACTTATCCTTTCTATAATGTAGTCCTCTTATATAAATTTATTTTACAAACCAGTCACTTGAAACAAGTTCAATAATTAAATTCAAATTAAATGTATAATTAGTGTTTATTTAAACTATGGTTATGGAAATGTAAGAGAAAGAGCACATTTCATATTATTGGGTTGTCAGAAAAGTTTTTGATTTTTTTTAATGCAAAAATGTATCATGACTTCTCTGACAACCCAATCTATATTGAATGTCACAAATATATTTTAAAATAATGCCATAACTAAAAGTAGATGACTATTGGGGTACACATTTTTAAATCGTTTTTAGCATTTTCTAAATTCAAGATTTAATTATTTGAAGCCAGCTGGTAGTGTAGTGGTTAAAGTATTGAACTCCCATGTGGTTGACTGTGGTTTGAGCCCCAGACCTGGTGGCTTGAAACTCACTCTGGGTACATGTGCATGCGTGCCTAAAATTCTGAGAGGAGAATGAAGGAGAAAGAATTGCAGTGTGGCCATCCCCTTAGGGGATGATTTCTCACTTTCTGTTTCTCTGGCAAGTGCACACACCCTACTACAAAAATCTCTCAAAAATATTTTAATTTCTCACATGTGTGAGCATATGCTTTCACCAGAGAGGTAGAGGGGAAGTGAGAAATCATCCTCCAGGAGAGATAGCTAATCCACAATCCCTTCTCCTCTAGTCAGCCTTTGGGTTTGGGGGCATACATTCACATGTGCCCAGTGTGATTTTCAAGCTGCTAGGTCCAGTACTCACACTGTACAGTTGGCTCTGTGGGATCAGCACCCTAACTTCTATGCCACCTGCTGACCTTAGATTTAATTTTTAATAAGTGGAACCAAACAAAAATTGCATGCGTGTAAATATTTACTTAGAAAAAAACGGCAATACTTATTTTCAGTTTGATAATTTGCAACTTAGATTATTTCTTAAAAGAGTTTTATAATTTCCCTCCCAAGAGATCTTTCACTAACATGATTTTCTAAGAGAGACTTCTAATTCTGTTTTTAGTGAAATTTTTACACATCATGGCATTTGAAGCACTGAAATTAACTTTTGAAATAAAATTCAAATATATTCTTTAATTGAAACATGAATTTAATCTTTCCTTTATTAGACTTAGATAACAGAATTTTACCAGAACTCATTGTAGGTAAGGTGAAATTAAAATGTCACAAAAATAGGTTTCTACACAATGTGTCTTGAAACAGCACTTCTAATTTTTCCATTTTAGCACTGAAAAATAACAAAGGTACTATAACACTCTTCCAAAATTATAATGTAATGCATAAATTAATCTCTACTGAAATACATTTATAAATATATTTGTGTTTTATCATTTAAGTGCCTGAAGTAATAGGTGAGAAAATATAAAATTGTAAATATTCATTTGATAAAAAATGGTATTAACTGGAATAAAAAACATGGTAGCATAAGTCTTAATTTTCCAATTAATAAAACATGAACTTCAAGTTGGATTTTAGGGGCATAGGGCTTTTGCCTTCTTATATCATAATACAGGTGTATTAAATCCCTTATATAATAATTAAATTCTACACTGGTGGTGTATGAATATACATTACTCAATCAAACAAAAATAACTCCCCAGACTTCCCCATAATTAAAAGGAAGCAACACCATATTTTTGCATATACTAGTATTATCCTAACATGTCCACAAAGGATATTCGGGTATTATTGAATCCTGATTTTTTCTTCTAACCAACAACTAGAAAAGATAAGCCAACAAAGTTTATCCATTTCATCATGCTTGTTCTTAATTATTCCCTTTTCTGCATTCTTTCAGCATTTATATTAGAATATAAGCTTCCTTAAAACAGGCAGTTTTATTTTATTCACTAATATAAAACCTCTTTATGGGACTTATCTGATGAGTGTTTGACTTTAATACTTGTCTGCCTGTTTCCCTAAATTCTGCCTTTGTTGAATGGGGACCATAACTTACACATCATTAATGTATTGCTCACAAAGCTTCGTATATAAACAAGCACTCAATACATTTTAATTATGTCTGGGTTACATACTATATCTCATTTTTGAATAGGCATTATTTTCTCCTTTCCAGTTTTCTACAGTCTCAGGTGCATTCTGTGTGTACTGTTCAATGGTCTTACATTGACTACCATCTTTGTTCGTATCTTTTTTTTGTCTTCAGTTACATTTTAGCAGTACTCATTGCTTTTCAAATAAATTCTTAATTCTTTAGTATAGTATTTGTGTCCTTTTGAGTTCCAATCTACTTCCAACACTTATAAATAATATTGCTTGAAATGCTGTGCTATTGTATTCTATTCTAATAAACATTTTTAAAAAATAGAAAACAGCTACCAGATAAGAAATGACAAAATTTAGGAGCCTGAAGTGTTCTCCTACCTCAAGGATCCCCATTCAGGGCACCAAAAAGTCGTGTTGCTGGTAGTCAGATAAGTGTATTCAGAAAACTTCTGTTTCCTGACCTTGAGCCTTGGAGAAAGATACTTGAAAATATAAAAATGGTAAAGAAATGCTATGTAGAAAACATACATATTCATTTTTGATGTTAGAAAACTCAAAGAGTTTTACAATATATTTAAGAAATACAGAGTTTTTTAATAGGCATTTCCCAAGTCATGGCATGTTGACTACCATTTCTTTCATATTTCAGAAACTTCTAGTGTTATCTCAAGCAAACCCCTTGAACTTGGAAGTTATAACACTGGGAAGTCACCATATATTAGGGAATTCTGAAGAGTGCTGCTAAGGTAATAGAGTAGCTTCAGGATGGTATTTTTTCACTCCTTTCCTTCTTTTCTCTCTCAGAGGCCACAACTGCTACAGGAACCATGGGAACAGGACTGCCAGGAGGTGAGCATGGTCCTTCTGAGATTCATTCTTTGATATTGTAGCAAAGATTTGAAGACTACGAAGGCCTCAACACATTTCCTCTGGGGGATGTAGCACACAAGGCCAAGCCAAATTGTTAATCCCTCTAGAAAAATCTGCACAGAGGCCTCTCAGTCAAGCATTTCTGAGTCCTAGCTCTCAGAGTTCATTCTCTGAAGAGAGCGATGAGTGTTTCACTGCTTTGAAGTCCCCAGAACTTCTTTTCACAGGTACCACCATCATTTTTTTTCCTGAAGTCAATAGAAGCTCATAAGTTTCCAACCCACATAATATCAAATAGATAAGACGTAAGCTGGCTCTTATTCTTTTGAGTGTTCTGTGTATGGTGGTGTGTATGTGTTCATGTGTATCCTTTAAGGATATTGTATAAAACAGCCACAAAAAGATCACAAGGGAAAATGGTTAGAAAAAAAAGTTAACCTTCCATTTTCCTCCCTCTGTAGTCAGTGCTGGCACATCAGGGGGAACTCTCATAAGCAGTGAAGCAAAGAGGAATGAAAGGATTTGCCATCCTTCTGTTGGTGGACTAGGGTGTAGGGGTGCTCATTTTTAAGGTGAAAAAAAGGAGGCCAAAGAGATGATATGAGAGAAGGACCCTTATAGTTAGTTTATCATTTGGAACATTAACTAAACTACCATAAGGTCATGACCTGCTTCCATGACGAACTGGTACATATTGCTAAATGTATTTTTTATTGCTTTAGGTATCACTACAGTTATCTCTGAGACATCTGTTCAAACAGGAATTTCCAACACAGGTAGAATTGAAATAATAAGTACATCTTCTCTGGGGACACTCAGAGGAAATTATTTATTTTTAAATGTTTGTATTGCTCTGTTACAATCATACAAAATACCTCTTTCCAGCACCTCAAATCCCCAGAATTTACTGTTTTTCTATGTCCTTTATCAGAGGCCACAACGTCCACTGAAGATGTTGGTACCACTGGAGTTGGATTCAAAACAGGTGAGAAGGACCATCCTGTGTTTTTGTTGTTAACGGTTATGACACTCACTAGACAGCCTGAAGGAAAGGAGTTTCTGGAGTTACTTGTACTGCGTGTTTGGCCAGTAAATTGTTTTTCAATTTTTATTTTTCTTTCTTTCTATTATCTCTGGAGGTAAGATGTTTACAAAGTGTTTCTGAATAATTTCTGCTGTGAATTGCAAACCTTACTAACTTTTGAAATGGGAGGGGTGATAAAACTTCTTATTCCTGAAAAACAAGGAGGTGCTACAAAAACATAGAAAAGATACCTGACCTGTATAAATGTTTTCTTTTCACAAATGAAGTTTGTCTGGAGTCCTCAGCACACTCGTACCTTCCCCTGTTTCCACTCCATAGCAGGTATTTCTGCAATATGAGAGAAGTGAGACACTGGGAGTGAAACAGAGAGCTCGAGAAAGACTCATCTTGTCTCCCTGACACAGAATGGCAGGAAGCCTCCCTCAGATTGAGAACTGGTTTGATAATAATAAGTGGGAAAATACACAGGACTAGTCATCAGAGAAGCGTGAGTTAGAGATAATAGGTATAGAATTTTCTAGAAGCAGGTCATAGGAAACATCAAACACCATGGTGATGACAGTCCTCTTTGTGTTTCAGACACCACTGGCAGTGCCCCTGACATAACTGCTGCCCCTGGCAGTTCTAATACAGGTGAGCCAGCACCAGCATTGGCAGGGAACCCTTCCCATGGAGTCTTCCCATAATTAGATATCTCCACTGGTGCTATTGTTTACATGCGTGATTTTTTTTTCATGGCTTGAATATTTTTAAATATGTCTTTCTGGTTTTTTTTTTTTTCCTTTTCTTTTTCTTAGAGGCCACAACTTCCTTAGAAGGCAGTGGAACAAGAGATAGAATAGCCACAGATGAGTATTGCAAAGCCACTGTGTTTACTGTTAGTAATACACACTGAAGACTAGCTTTTTTAAAAAACAAACAAGGGAACCAGCAGTTAGCGTAATGGCTGTGTCGCTGGACTCCCACGTAGTCGACTGCGGTTTGTGTCCCGGACCCGGTGGCTTAAAACTCACGCCGGGCGCGTGTGCGTGCGTGCCCAAGATCCCGAGAGGAGAATGGAGGAGAAGGGATTGCGGCGTGACCATCCCCCCTGGGGGGGTGATTTCTCGCTTTCTGTCTCTATGTCTCTCTCTGTCTGTCTGGCGAGCGCACGCGCCCTACAGTGAAAATCTCTCAAAAAAAAAAACAAACCCCAAAAATCAAATATTTATTGTCTAGAAATATATACATAAACATAGCAGATGCTATTCTCTCATTTCTCCATCTTCTTGTTTTTCTTCAACACCTCTAATATAAAGGACATTATTACACCTTATTAAAACTTCACCCAGATACCAAACAACACTCCATCTATGCATTCTTCTGTATTTGCAAGCTGTATATTTATATAACCATCTACAGATACAAGGTAGCACTTATGCGCCATTCCCCATTTGAGTTTCACTATCCCTGATTTTCTGTTAATTGAGGGAAGGTTTGGCATTCTGAGGTAAACCGATTGCACTAACTAGCACAGGCTGCAGGCTGCTCGCCACTGACCCTGTGGTCCGGCGTGACTGGAGCAGCTACTGTAGGCCCCAAATCACTGAGTTCAAAACAAGACTGTAGTTTTAAAGGGATCCATACCACTTACTCTCACGCTGAGTATCATTATGTAAAAATTACCATTGCTCATTGACTAAGATTCAGAAACTCAAACTTTCATTCTTATTTCCCAGGACATAGAACAGTAAATTCTGGGGTTTGAGGATACTGGGATATTGTTTTGTTTTGTTTTTACTGTAGGGCGTGTGCTCTTACCAGAGAGAGACAGAGAGAGACAGTGAGAGGAAAGCGAGAAATCGCCCCCTACCCCCAGCTGGGGTGATCATCATGCTGCAATCCCTTCTTCTCCATTCTCCAGGATTTGGGGTATGCACTCACATGCACTCAGCATGATTTTCAAGTCATCTGGTTTTGAACTGTGTTCAGCCATGTGGGAGTCCAGCACCTTAGCCTGCATGCTACCTGCTGACTCCTATTTCCCAGATTTGAACATATTCCTTCCATCATGCAAGGCAATCATGCAGCCTCTTGACTGAATTACATAGATGACATGGAGACAAAGCTCTTAGCTCCATTATTGAATGCTAGTAAAAGAGGTCCAGTAAGCAGACATTCCTTTGGTAAATTTACTATGGAAAGAACATTGTATGAAGAATATATAGATTAACTTTCTACATTAAAAACACATTTTCCTGAAATACAGAATGAACATATAGGTTGTGTCCATTTATTTGCTTGATACCCTAAGCTCACTTCATAATGAGAAGGAATTGCCCTGTAACTTCTACCCATCCCTTTTTTAACAGCTACCACTGGGGTAGTCTCTGGAGATACTATGGAACCTGGGAGTTACAACACAGGTTAAGTCAAAAAGTGTATAGGGAATGCTACACAAAGGCTCCGCAGGTGATACATCCTAATGTAACTTTGCCATGTATTTCATCATATTCTAGACTTTGTGCTTTTCTTTTCTTTCAGAGGCAACCACTTTCACAGGAAAGGGCAGGACAACCCAAACAGAAGAGACAGAAGGTATGCTCTAGCTGTCTGAAGCTTTTGAGTTCTCATCCTTTCTCAGTTTTGGTGTACTGAAGTGAACTGATAAAGGTTAAGGAGGGTAAAGGACAGGGAGTTGCTTCTTGTCAGGAAGCGCAAATGTATGTCTGAAAACTAGGAAGTTCTGATAAAGAATTTCAGGAACTCCGTTACCTAATATTCTAGTCCTTCCCATCACTAATAACAGAAAATACATGATACTGAGCAGCCTGAGTAGCTGGAACTGCAAGTATGCAGATGAACCCAATTTTCAAAGGAGAGCTAGGCCTCTCATGTGGCTTCAGCCCTCTGAGTAGAATGTTCAGTGTGCACCACCATGGATGAGCATAGATATGGTTTTAATCCTGAGAAGTACAGACAACTTATTAACCAAAATAGAAGGTTGTTCAGCTCTTGGTTTGGAGGTCCAATGCCAAGTGCCTTTCTGGTGGGATCTTCCAGATGTATCACAACATGGCAGAGGACAGGAGGGTGTGGCTTGTGTTCCAGGTGGGCTTTTACCTGCCTCATTTCTACCGCTTGTAAACTCACCAGACATAACCATACAGGCTCCACTCTAACCTTTCAATCACTAAGCTCTTCCTAATGGTCCACACCAGTTTTGGACACCATAATAGAATCAAGTTTTCAACATCATAATCTAGTTACAGTGATCCAACATACAAAGTTTAGGGGGCATATTCAAACTATAACATCTAAGCTAGTCTCTCCTCTATGTCTGTTTGACAGCTTTAGTTCTTTGGACACCTGTCTGAGACCTGCTGACATGTGTCAGGTCCCTAGTTCTCTCTATTCTCTCTACTCTGCTCCTGTGTGCCAACATCTATCCAATGTATTTATTATGCTTCTTGTTCTTTTATTTTGTTCCCTCTCTCGAGTGTGAATCATCTGAAGTAGAGATCTTCATTCTCACTGAAAAAGGTTCCTCAAACACCAAGAAGTGCTTTAAAAATGTTTTAAAGATAATGACAGGAATCTCCTTATTCTGAGTGTCACTCTGTTTACTTCAACAGCTACCACCAGGGTTTCAATGGGGGTCAGCAGCAGTTCAGGGGTTCCTAAACCAGGTAAGATGGAGTATTAAAATAATCCAGGGAAGCTGTAAATAGCCCCTGGGAGTCTATGATTAAACACCTTATTATCATAATATCCCAAGTTATACAAATGAAAATGTTTAGATAGATTAGACTTTTCCTTGCTCCTGGAATACTAGGGGGCCAAGTCACTGGCAGTGAAACAGGTAAAGTGAAATTAAGCTCCATTCTCCTTTTCATGGGATACAGAACTTCCTAGATACTATAGCAAAACATTAGCTTATAGTTGAGGATAGGGAAATAAGAAAATAATCATTTGTGATTAATTTCTTTCTGAAACAGACGTTTTCAGAAAAGTTTTTTCCAAGATTCAAGCCATTGCTGCTTCCAGTATTGCTTGCTTTCTAGCGCCTTTTACTTTTCTCATTTTAGGCACTTCTGGTGAATTCTCTGGGACAACCATTAAATCTGAAGTTTCCAACACAGGTAACTGAAGAACAAGTTCCACATCTAGAATGTGTAACACCTTTTGGGAAGCTGCTATGATAAAATATGTCTTCAATATTTTTTACTAGTATCTCAAGTTCCCAGGACTCATGATTCTCATCTTTCTTCCTTCAGAGACTACAAGTTTCACAGGAACTGGAGGCAGTGCTAGAACTGAATCCAGAACAGGTAGGGCTGAGCAGTCTCTATATAACGAATGAGTCTCATTACTATGACATGTTGGTGGGTTTTTCGTCTAGAATATCGTGTACTGATTTAGAGACAAAATATCTAAGGCCAAATAGATTTTCTTTTAGATTTAAAAATTTCCTTAAAAAAATCTGCCAATATCATCTTCTGAAATGAGATAGCTGTTCTAAGTTAGGATGCAAATAGGATATAATTGTTCTGAAAAATAGTTCTCCTGTAATATTATATATAAACATTGCCAAAGTATCAACAGGAGCTAAAAACTTTTCCTTTTTTTTTTTTTGGTGTGTGTGTGTGTGTATGTGTGTGTGTGTGTGTGTGCACATGCCTGGTGTTTTTATAGACAAGGTATGACTGTGTTGCAAACCTTCTACATTTGTGTCCTGCAGGAACTATAGCCACTTATTTAAGGAGAGCTTGGAATGGAACCCAGGCCTCCCATGCGACTTCAGCCTTCTGGGCAGCAGTGTTCAATGTCACCACTGAACATGAACATGGATGCACATAGACACAGTTTTAATCCTGAGAAGTACAGATAACTTAAATGTACCTTAGAAACATGAACATGCTGGGACCAGCAGTTAGCGTAATGGCTATGTCGCTGGACTCCCACGTAGTTGACTGTGGTTTGCGTCCCAGACCCGGTGGCTTAAAACTCACACTGGGCGCGTGTGCGTGCATGCCCAAGATCCCGAGAGGAGAATGGAGGAGAAGGGATTGCTGTGTGGCCATCCCCCATGAGGGGTGATTTCTCGCTTTCTGTCTCTTTGTCTTTCTCTGTCTGTTTGGCGAGCGCACACGCCCTATAGCAAAAAAAAAAAAAAAAA